GCATGGCTCCTCGCCCGCTCCAAGTGCCACATCGCCAGGCTCCTACGAGCTGGCCCTCCGTGACGCGAAGCCGCTACTCTCGGCCGCCTCCCGCGGCTCCCGCCCCCTCATGATCGATGCCCAGTACCGCCGTGCCGTCGCGCTCTTCCGCCTCGGCCGCCCTGCCGACGCCGATGCCTGCGCCCTCCTGGTCGATGAAGCTCGCCGAAGGCATCTCGATGCGCGACGCCGCGAACCTTGTGCCGAGCCCCGGCACCGACTGGCGGCCCAGCCGCGCAGCCCACCTCGCCGAGATTAAGGACGTCACGGCGAGGAGCGGCCAGGCGGCCATGACGGAGAAGAAGTTTGGCGCCATCTGGAACACGGCCGCGGCGCTGCGGGCGCAGGTCCTCGCCGCGCTGGAGAGGGTGCCCGACGGCGACGACAAGGCCCGCCTCGCCGTCGCGCTGGTGCCCGTCGAGCGCAAGCAGGAGGACGCCGAGGAGGACCAGCTCGTCAGGGAGGCCGTGGCCGAGAAGAAGGCGGCCGAGGCGGCGCAGCGGGAGAAGCCCAAGGAGGTGCGGGTCGACTTCTTCCAGAGCAGCGCCAGCGTTTCCGTCTCGGTGTTTGTCAAGGGCGTGCCGAAGGATGTGTTCCGCGCCGAGTTCACGGAGGACCTGGTACGTTTTCTTTTTCTTTTCTACTTTTATTCTTTCTTTTTTTTTTCTTTTTTTTTCTTACACATCATCACAGAAGCGGCAGGTGCATTTATTTCGAGTCTTGTTAACAATGGCAAAAACAGGTACGCCTCAGCCACATCCCCGGCCACGAGCCCTGGTACGAGATTCCCCTCTACGGACAGATCGACCCCGCCCAGTGCAAGTTTACCGTCACGCCCAACAAGGTCGAGCTCAGTCTCAAGAAGCGCGAGCCCGTCAAATGGGGCACACTCCCGCCGTGCGGCCGATGCGCCGGCTGCCGCACCCGCCAAGGTGGCTGCTGCTCCTGCGCCAGCGCCCGCGGCCGCGGCCCCTTCGTCGTCCCGTACGGGCGCCAAGAACTGGGACAAGGTCCTGGCCGACGAAGACGACACGGAGAAGGAGAGCGTCAACGACTTTTTCAAGACGCTGTACAAGGGGGCGACGGACGAGCAGAAGCGAGCCATGATGAAGTCGTTCACCGAGAGCAACGGCACCTCGCTGAGCACCAACTGGGAAGATGTCAAGACGGGCAAGGTCGAGACGGTGCCGCCCGAGGGCGTCAATGTCAAGAAGTGGGAGGCGTAGGGTACTGCACATGCGAGAGTGGAGGCCAGGTGCAGCCAGAAGGCCGGAGAAATGAGGGCATCAACCGCTTCAACACATGAAGCTTTGATGCGAAGCTCGAACAGGGCACCCATCAGTATAGACAGGAATACGCCTGCCTAGATCATCACGAAATCACGACGTCATGCTCATTGTATGCGCCAGCTCATTGTGACTTTGTGGACCTCCTCCTGTGTATTGTATGCCAACTTCTTAGCCCCATCATGATGGAATAGATCATGCAGCAGGGCTCCCTACGTATACTGGCACCAGGGCTGAGCTCCCAAACACCCTCGTACCCCGACATCTATTGGCTCTCCGACCAGGCCCGAAGAGCTTGCTTCCTGGCCTCCAGGAACTCAGACACGGCGTAGTTCCGCTCCACGCGCTTGATCGTGCTCCTCCACTCGTCGATCCCGACGTACGCGCCCCGCAGGTGACGGCCGCCCGACGAGGGGTCGAACGCCGTCCGGCCGTGCAGGACGCGACGGTTGTCGAAGACGACGCAGTCGCCCTCCCGCAGCCGGCGGCGGATCATGTTGCCGTCCTCCTCGAGCATGTGCTGGAAGGTCGAGGCGGCGGCGTGCCAGGCGGCGAAGCGCGTCCGCCCGCGGGCCTCGTCGGCGCGCGCGGCGCTTTTTGGAAGGGCCGCCCACCAAGAGGCCGGGGGTGGCTGGGGATATGGGCGCGGGGGGGGTGTGGGGGTTTTTGGGAGGAACGTTGCCCGGGAAGAGGCCCTCCTGGGTCCCGGTTTAAAGCTGGCCCCATGCCCCGGAAAAATATGGCCCGCCCCTTCCCTGAGAAAAAAAACCCCCC